CCTGGCACTATGAGCCCTGCATTATGAGCCCTGCACCATGATCCTGGCACTATGAGCCCTGCAGTATGAGCCCTGCACTATGATCCCCCACACTATGATCCTTGCACTATAATCCCCTGCACCATGGTCCTGGCTCTATGATCCCGGCACTATGAAATGCAGAAAAGGATCAACACCCACACTGCAAAAAATCAAAATCTTGATAAGTAATTTTTTTCTTGAAATAAGTGCATTTGTTCAATTTAGATTTAAAATAAGAAAACACAATTGCATTGTCTTATTTCAAGTGAATATTATCTAATTATCTTATTTTAAGTGTAAAAATACTGATTCCATTGGCAAACTATCTCATTTACCTACTTAAATCAAGGGTAAATACTTATTTCTAGATCGTTTTTACAGCGCAGCAGGGTGGTAGAATGGGCTGGTCAAAGTTTGGACCTTCTGTCCTATTAAGATGTTCTTTGAAATAAAAAAAAACTTGTTCTTGCCAGTTTTCCCTTCATATGAAATCAATTGGAATAAGATGAAATTGTCTCGAGTAAAACAGAAAACTCTTCTATATGATCTCAGGTTGTTTTTGTATACTATTCATATATCCTTTATGATCTAAAATATTCAGATGTGACAACCAAAAACTTTTGACTGGTCTTGGAGAAGAACTGAATGTGGAATCCAGAAAAACGAATCCCCTAAAGGAAATGGAGCTGTGTGATTGGTACTGCAAGCATAAGGAGTCATTATCCGAGGAGCCTAATGGAAGGATTGGCAGACAGAACTAGGAAAGATGAAGTGAGAAAGAGATTACAAAGTGGTAGATGGAGAGGCGGAGTGAGAAAGAGGAAGCTGAATGGAGCATATGAAAGCTAATAGAGGCAGAGTAAAACCCCGTCTGAGAAGAATGACTCGCTTTCCCCTGGGATTAGGAAGGTAATTATTTGAAGGAGGTTTCTCATCAGAATATCCAAAGGTGTGGAAAAGGGAGGCAGGAAAGAGCAGAGAGGCCTTAGCTACCAGAAATGAAAAAGATACTTTGATCTCTGTGGTTGATAGCAGACCCAGATTCCTCAGAGCTGAGGAAACCTACCTGATGTCTTCAAAATGTTTTCTGTTGATCTGCTAAAAGGCTCTGATTGGGGAAAGAAGGAGACAAAACCTGCTGATCACTGATAAGCTTTTATTTGATGCTGACAGGAGCCTCATAACCACAGCAGCCTTATCAGATTCTATGAAAAGGTAGCTGCTGGATGTAATGGACGTCTCCATTCGTCCAAATGTCCTCAACAAAGATGAAAAAGATTTTTAACACTAAATGAAGACTTTAATCTCAGAAGGTTGTACATTCATTCATCAAAATTGCTCATAAACATCCAGTAATATTGAAAGGTAAAATATACAGGCAGCAAACAGTCCCTCTCTGAGTCTGCTGTCCATCCATCCGCTGTGGAGGCTCCGCCTTTCTTCGCCGCTAGATGGGACAGGAAGCAGAGATTGTCTGAGGAGCAAAAGTCCTTTTCCTCTGAGCGGAGAAGAAACGAGTCAATAAGCACCACGGTTCTCCTTGTGGATCAAACAGGAAGCACGTTAGCAAAGTGTTCATGGAGGAACAGCGTCCAACTCTCCAACCGCTCTGAATGAAAACTTCGTCACATTTAGTCTTTGTTCCTTCCAACCAATGACATTCGTTCACTTTTACTGTCCCACATTCAGGCCCAGTCCTCCTGTCTTTAGCACCATACCAGACAGACGCTTTAATACTGCAAAGATTGAACAGTTAGGAAGCAGCTGATGCATGCCGCCACATGCTAACAGTTTTAAAACATTTGAATCATACCGAGATAAGCTGTTCAGTTCTTTCAAACGTCAACCTGGTCTCATGTATAAAACTGTCATCAGCCAATCTTCTGATTGGTTCCTTTGATTCTTCAGGCCCACATTAGGAGGAGAAGTGATCTAAGCGTGAATCCAAAGCATCTGATGTGAGCCTGACAGCTGTTTGAACCTATAATCCCAAACTGATCGTCTGCTTGAGGTCAGCTCCACCTGATGTGGAAGGACACTTGGCTTCTCAAAGGCCACGTCTGTCAGGTCTATCCACAGACTTCCAGATTCTTTGGGATCATCCAGATGTTTTTGAAATGTTGTTTTGAACTTTCATCATTGATTCTGACCTGGGATGTTCCACGGAGGCCAATCTTTGACTTTGGGGAAACTTTCTCTTTCTGGATGTATTCTTTGGAGCAGCAGCCCTAACCTCCACCTCTCCACCGTCTAACGTGCTCATCTGTTTATTTAGAGCCAACCATGGCTGCGTTAAAGGCACTCAGACGTTTCCAATCATTATTTTGAAAGAAATCAACAAACTTCCATCTTTCTGCACCAAGATGTTGCCTTGCAGCTAAAGTCCTGCTGGATGTTTAACTTTATGGGTTCAGGTTAGTTTAGCTGGTTAAGCACAGCTGGTGATATTGGGTAAACTTGCTATCTGAGCTGAGCAGTGTTAGCGTGGATCTTAGAAATGGTCTCTGGTTGGTTCGGTGCTTCTCATGACGTCTCTAAGAAAGATAAATACCATCAATTTAAACAACAGAGCTGACAGAGAAGCTTATAAATGATAATAAATGATTCCATCCTGCTCTAATCTGCTCCATGAAGGTCTTTGTTTCAACTATTTAAGATTTTTCAACCCGTGGAAGTTTTTCTCTCACTTCCTCTAATTCAATAATGCATCATTTTAATGTGAAAGTCATCAGGGATCAGTTTCATCTTCTACGTTTTATTTTGAAATCCTTCTCCTTTCAGTCATTCTCCAGTTTCCAACGTTTCCTTCTTTCCATCTCAGGAGCTTCCTGTCAGCCTTCATAATCTGTTCCACTAACCCACTGCTGAACAGGAACTCTGAGTGTTTGAAAGGAATAAAATATCATTTAAAAATAAAAAATAAAATTGTTACTATTTTTAGTTCAGGTTCCTTCATTGATAGAAACAAGCAAAATATTAACTTCCAGTGAAAAGTTTGGTTCTGATGTTTGTTTAGCGAAACTAAATTAATTTACAATAAGAATTATAAATTAAACATGTTTTTCTAACTTGTTTGGGCAGCATCCAGGGGGGCGGAGCCTAACCAAAGGCTCCTCGCCTTAATCTGGATTAAGAAGACATTAATATCCATGTTTATGATGGTAAATAGATAAAAACCAGATTACAGTCAAGTCATCGTTTCCCTGCTCTCAGCATTTTTCTAATATTTCACTACAGAACAGTAAAAATCCAACTATGAGAAAAAAAATGTGATTTTATGCCGAGTTGCTGAACCGCTGAGATCTTCTGTGTCTGGTGTCAGATTATTTTCTGTGTCTCAGGTCATTGTTGGTGTTTTTCGACCAGCTGAGGAATGTAGAGATCAGCTTTGGTTCTGAGCCGGTAACCTTCAGCTCAGCAGCAGCTTCTACTGACCAATTAATTAGACCCATTAGGACGGTTTCTTCAGCCTGTTAGAGAAGCCGGATGGTCCAAACCTGCAGCCACCAATCAGATCCAAGGCTGCAGAAAACATCTGGATTCTGACTCTCTCACTTGTGCAGCAGCTCCTCTCTCCAGCCTTTCTAATAAGGCGACTCTAACCCTCACAGGGACCAGAATAACTGGGCTCCTCCAGAGAATCGTAGCGACTGAACGTTGTCCAGAAATAAAGTGGGAGCTGTTCTGCAGAATGGTCTGCTGGCAGGATGCCTGAGAGGAACAAGAGAAACAAACCTTTCCTTCTGGCTGTTGTGCAACATGTTGTAAAGTGCTGAGGAGGGAAGAGGGCAGCGGAGGACAGAGGCTCAGCTCCACCACTGGGCCGTAAAAACCCAAAGATTGAAAACATTTGAGCTCCATTTAGATACAAAAGACATGAAAGAGTTAATCAGTCGATATGGACCAACAGAAGGAGGAAATATCACCACAAGCATTTACATTATTAGGAGCAACGACCACAGATACAGTGGGTACGGAAGGTATTCACACCCCTTTAAATTTCTCACTTGTGTCATTGCAGCCATTTTATTTTTATTTCTAGAAGTTAAAGGGGTTTGAATACTTTCTGCACCCACTGATATGTACAGCGTAAAATCACAGCATAGAAACAGCATGAATGGAGGAACTTTACAGAGGAGAGGAGAGGAGAGGAGAGGAGAGGAGAGGAAGTGTCTAACAGGGCAGGGGGATTAAAAAAGGGACAGAGGGTTCGAAACGTTCAACAGCTGCTGAGCCAAAGCTCTGCAGCGACGATGATGATGAGGAGGAGCAGGAGGAGCAGTAGGAGGAGTGGGGCCGTTTTAGTGTCTGTTAGAATGAAGCAGCGTCTTCATGCCTCCATCAGCAGCCTCAGATTGTCAGAGCAGAAGGACACAGAGCTGGTAGAAAATGTCTGCCTTTCAAGGCGTCTCTGCATGAGAAGGTTCCCCATCAGCTTATGGCAGATGGAGAAACGCAGAGAGACGGAGGAAGCGTCCATCATCCGCCCCCCTCACAGTCCCGAAACACACCTGGATTATATCTACACGGCTCCACCTGCACAGCCCTGCAGATGCAGCTGCCTGTTTGGGGCCCCTTTCTCTCCACCGCTGCTTTGGGGTCCAGTCTGTTCTAGTCATGTGGATCTAGGGTTGGGAAGGTCGAAGACGATGGGGGGGTTCATGGGGAGGAAGTTAACGGTGCAGGCCGAGGCGTTGATGAACGTGGTGGTGCCGTCTGTCATCATGCCATAGCCTAAAAACAACAGGCAGAAGGAGCAAAGAAGAGAAGGAAGAATCTGAATTAAAAAGTAAAAAGCAGCTGAATTCATTCAGTGTTTTTCAGTTCATCTGACTTAAAGGAAAAGCCCCGAAACAGCAGAAATGACAACTAAACGGATTTATTTTAACAGAACTGAATCTTTGTGATTCAGGTCAGACCAGTTTGTCATCATGAACATGAACAAATAACCCAGATTACATCTGCTAATCTGCTTTCCTTCCTGTTACTTCAGTAAATATGTGGACATCATTAGGTCACCTTTTTCTAGTTCAAATACTGATCAATGATCAGTTTGAGTTAGTTGAAAACACAGAAAGTATACATGGAGCGACTTTCACTGCATAAACGATTGGGAGGTCTGTTTCCTGGAGCAAAACCTCAGTTATAAACATCACCTTCAACTGAACAGTGATCTGGTCCAAAGAAGAAGACCGGATGCAGCGTTAGGAAGGTCTACAGGAAGCAGACGGCCTCAAACTACTAGGCAGATTGACTGCAGCCAAAGTTCTGATGGAAATTATCACATCTCGCCTATCCTAGCTTCTCTTCATTGGCTTCCTGTTAAATCCAGAATAGAATTTAAAATCCTCCTTCTCACATATAAAGCCTTAAATGGCCAAGCTCCATCTTATATCAGAGATCTGATTGTTCCTTATGTTCCTAACAGAGCACTTCGCTCTCAATCTGCAGGTTTACTAGTGGTTCCTAGAATTTCTAAAAGTAGAATGGGAGGCAGATCTTTTAGTTATCAGGCTCCTCTCCTGTGGAACCAACTACCAGTTTTAGTCCGTGAGGCAGACACCCTGTCTACTTTTAAGGCTAGGCTTAAAACTTTCCTTTTTGATAAAGCTTATAGTTAGAGTGGCTCAGGTTTCAGGCCTGAAACTAGCATGTGATGTTCTCAGGCCTCATTCTATCACTATCCCTTCATAGGAGCCTGGATTTCGAGAGTGAGGATGGAAACCTGATTCTGATCCACAGAACGTGGTCAGTGTGAAGCAGAGCCATGTGTGAGTTTTGTCTGAATCCTTTGGAAGAACCTGAGCTTATTTAAAGACGCAAAAATGACATAAGTCACCCTGAGGGGGAAAGTTCTCTCTGAATTATAGACCCATCTCTGGACTGAAGCCAGACTTCTTCTAAAATGTCCTCCTTTAATCCTCTGAATAAGGAGGAACGCTGCTCTCAGGGCATTTCTGCTTTTAGAGGAGCTGATCTACTTTCTAATCTGGCTGCCTCTGATCAGGGAATGCTGCTCCAGGCCAACGCTGACCTGATAACCCGGAAAACAGCAATCCTCAGCACAGGGAGCTGCCTATCTGGCCTCATTGGCCTGGGTGGATGATAGAGGAGGAAGCAGCAGCTCATAAGCAGGCAGGAGGACATTCTTTAAGGCATGTCTTGCTACAGATGAAGGTCTCTTTATAAACAGCCAGGCGTGTTTACCTTCGTGAATGTGTCCAAACACGTGTAATTTAGGCTGAACCCTCCTCTGAACCGTGTTGAGCAGCTCCATGCATCCGACGCGCTGCATCTTTTTAGGAACCCAGTCCAGAAACCCTGCAAATAGAAAAAAGCAAGTCAGGAACAGGCAGCAGCCAGAGCGGCCTACAGGACTAAACATCCCTCCCTAATGACGTTAACCACAACGATGGACAGGAAACATAAAAACAGCTGAACTCTGCCTCAGTATAACAGGAGAACAAAAACTGGAATATGAAATGATTGTTTTGGATCAGAGGATTTACTGCATCTGTTTAAAATGTGACCAAGGTCGAGTTAAAGAGCAGAGATCTACGGTGATCTAAGGAGGCGGAGCTTTAAACAAAGCATTTCTCCTGGGGTGTGAGAAAAACCAGAACTTCATCCCACATGATGGAGGATTAAGGGGGTCTGGAAAAGAACAGCTGACTTGAGTCCTGATATCACTGCAGGCTGCAGACAGTTCATCCACTCTGGCTATGCTGGTTGCTGGGAAACCACAGAAAGAATTGAGTTTCAGGCTCCAGTTCCAGCTCCATTCTGTGGCAAATAGCTGCCTCTCTAGTCAGTGTAGTAAATCCTTCTAGCTCAGTAGCATCTCTGCGTGATGGATGGCCCCGCCCACTATGATGCATGATGAAGCAACAGTCTAAAAACCCGATGAGCCAGACGTCATGTCAGACAGTGGGGAGGAGTCTGAGTTCAGGCAGCTTTAGAAATGTCATTGCTGGTTATGGATTATGTTTATAGTCAAACTTTCAGGCTCATTGGACTTAACTAAACAAGAGATTCAAAGTTTTCTGCAGAATTTGAAGATTTTAAACTAAATACTAAAACCGCTAAACTGTAAAAGTACGGATTTAATGCTGCTAGCTTGATGCTAATGTCCAAATTTGGATATTTTTGAGGAAAGTTTTTGATTCTGTTTGGCCTCAAACCATCTCAGTGCTGCCACCTATGGGTTAAAGAGTGGCTACTGCAGCTGAATATATCGCAGGTCTATGTCACAGATCTACGTCTGGTTGAAAAAAAAACTTCCACTGATCCACAGCTGAGTGGTTCATCACCTCCTAGTCAGGATGGTGGACTGAACTAGATGATTTAGTCATTTAAATTCACTCTCCTCCTGAAAACATAATGAAATAGAGACTTCTCAATGTGAACCTCCATGTGATTGGTGAGTCTGTATCCCTGGTCATTTCCTGGTTCATTCCCATTCTTAAGGTATTTGTAGAATTGCTTGTTGTTAAATCTATGCAGACTTGGCTTAGATCATAAAAATGATTTTCTGCATTCATGGCCACGTTGAAACTGGTGCTGAAGGTGCAGAAACCACAATGCAGATGTGATATTAGTGA